TTTCTGGGTGACATTTTGACTCCAACATGACACAATTCTAGAGAAACCGTAAGTCCTTCGGGTACTCTTTCTCACCCTCGATGATCATGTTATGCAAGATAAAACATGTTGTCATGATATGCCACAGAGTCCAAAGCTTCCAATACGCATCAGGGCCACGTACAATCACAAAGTGTTTTTGAAGCACATTAAAAGCTTGGTCAACATCATTTCTAACAGATTCTTGACACACTGCAAAGTGCTACCTGTTGTTGCGTTGAGACCACTGGATTGTCTTCACAAGTGTGGCCCATGAAGGATAGATACCTACCCCATGTTGTACTCATGGCCATTGAAAACATAGTGGCAAGCTCGAGCTTACCAGCAACAAGCCTTGCAAAAAGAGGAGATCCCTCCAGGACATTGAGATCATTGTGAGTCACAAATCCCCAAGAATGAGTGCTAAATCCACATATCGTGTGGTGCAAATGCCTTAAGAATGATGGTTTGATCATGACAATTTCCTATGTATTGAGCTTTCCATGCCACAGGCAGTTCTTCCATGTCTAATGCATACAGTCAATGAATCCAAGCATCCCTGGCAAACCTCTTTCTTCACTTTCTGCCAAGAGCCTCTCATCACCTTCATTAGTGGGAGACCTCAAGTACTTTTGTCCATATATCTCGATCACAACGATGGTGAATCGTCTCACACAATCAAGGATGAGATTTTACATGTGAGCATAGTCATTTATGGCATCCATAAGCAAGCATTCACATGATTATCGTAATCTTCAATAATGCACTTGCACTTGATTCTCCCACGTCATGCCTTCTCACTTGAATGGAGGATTATGTTTCTCCACAACTTTTACGAAGGCGTTGAAGAGATCCCGGTGCATCTGGCATCAACACTAAAAATGATGAAGGAGATATATTGCATTCGCCACAAAGTAATCCCTCACTAGATCATCATGACCCACTATCCTATCTCGAAGAATCCAGAGATGGTCATCTAAGGACAACGCCTCGGTCGCCTAAAATTCTCCTCTAGAACAATTGCAATATCCACCAACTCGAATTCATCATCATCTTCTTCTTCCCCCTCCTCCTCCAACGAAGAATCATCAACATACATATCCCACAACCTCTTCATCTACATTGGAGCGTTTCATGATCAATTTGATACCGTATTCAATGAAAATAGAGAAAATGAACAAAAAAAATCTTGGCACAATTTGTAAACGCCTTGTGGGTGGGTGGTGTTGGAGAGACGGTGGTCGGCAACGGGGCTCCGACTAAGGCCGAACATCGGCGGAGGACACCGGCGACATTGCACTAAATATATGTGTGGTCGATCAATTTGGAACTATAACATACATGATACACATTAACGATTGCACTAAATATATTTCTTACCTTGATCTATGTTGTATGCTGGCACAATGGTTAAACGGTATTTCAATTAATTACTATCTACATCTTGACTCCGAACCCGTTCCAATCACACAATTTATCTCGTGAAAGGGATAGCAAAACACATGTTGCAACACAGAAAGAGAGAAACATGTCACTACTACTATGAGCCATGCATGGTCGATGAAGGGAAATACTCACAACTCTTTCACTGTCGACCAAGTAACACAAATTTGAGTCAAAACTAGAGACTCTTCTAGCGCATCAATTTTTTCCACTTCAGCTACTTCATGGATTTTGTATTTCGGAGGATCTGGTTGAATAAGGATGGGGATGAATATGAGAGCTTTATTTCATTCCGTATACAGCAAAGCAATCCTTTATAATATGTAACCGAAGAAGTTTTGACTACTTGAGGCAATACGCAATGTAGTAAAGTTATTGTATACTTGACCATATGTTATAGCTCAAATGCATGTAAGGCTCATGATTTCATCTTCTGATGCATAAATTCAAATGAAAGGAAGGTTCATGATATGATGTGCTAACCATGGTGTCTTCTTCTATACAAAGAGTTCATCATCGATGCCTGGTAGCTTTACTATGCATGGTCTAAGGGAGTAGATAATGTTTTACTAATTGTTGTCATTGTACCTCATCACCTTATCAAGTGAATGCTGAAAATATGAGAAATACTTGCCATGTCAGCTTTAGTGAGGTTAGTGAATTTTTTTTGCATCGTCTTTTGTATATTCAAAGCCTTCATCACTCCTTTCTTGCTACATTGAGTAATTCTACTTTCTTCTGTATAATAAATCAAATGTATCTTCGGTATGCTAAGCCTGATGGGATTCACATGTTCATTGTGTTGTTCAAGATGCATTATGAAAGGCGAATGAGCGATGGATAGCATTCAACTTATTAGCATCTATGATACTTTCATGCGTTCGATAGTATGAGCAAAGTGTAGAAGCAGAAGGGAGCAATCATCAGAGGATAATATGCGTTGACGGCTATCAATCTAGATTTATGTACTGAAATAATATTCTTAAAAAATTAGCTACACAATCTAGTTATTTTCACTTTATGAAGTATATAACCTTTTAGTCCGATGTTCGCTATATTGTATTGCTCCGTTCATCTTTCTATGTATACATGCCACCAGATCCTGTATCAGTCCAATAATCTGTAGTCTTTTCAACAGTTCATAGGCCCAATTCTTTTGGTGGCTTTTTCGGCTTCTAGAATAAGCCACCCCCTACCCAGCTTATTGTAGAAGCCCAACTAAAATTATTTTTTTAAAAGTCTACTAGTCAAGTCTTAATTACTAGGCTTCTAAAAAAATTGATTGGGCTTGTAGAATATGCTGGGTAGGGAGTAGATTATGGAAAACCCTATTCACCACTCGCTACAGCGAATTGTCGGGGATTCACACAGGGGCAAGCATGTGAGCGACGAGACATGGACCGGCTCACTTCTAGCTTTACATAGTGCGGCCAACGGTTTTGGGAACCATCTAGAAGGTTCCCTGAACTGTGTTTTTTCGTGTGCTGTTTCTTTTCTGGGTTTTCCAGTTTTCATTTGTTTTTTGTTATTTTTGATTTCTTTTTCTTATTTCTGGGTCTTTTCTGTTTTTCTTTTTCCTTTATTCTCCGGTGGCAAGCCGACTGGTAGGTTCACGAATGGGAGGACCATTGTAGTGTCATGGGTAATAATATCAAGTATGAATTTGCGTGAGAAGTTGTGTTTAGATTATCCACGCTTGATCCAAGGAACATTTTTTGGTGCAATGGTCTCAGGTGAAGCCTTGGGGAAGGAGACCTTTGCTCCTCCCTACTTGGCTCCGAACTCATGCCAGCGACTTATGTAGTGGTCGGCATTCCTACATGCTCCGACCGATCCCCACTAGAGATTATATGAGGGGTCTTAAAAACTGTCGTGATTTTATCTTACTTTTTCAAGTTTTTTGTCCGTTTCCAAAAGATGTTCAGAAATTTAAAAAATATTTGCATTTTTCATAGTTTGTTCCTAATATAAAGAAATGTACCTTTTCAATTTTTGTTTGGAAATATAAAAAATGTTCAATATTAAAAAACTTTAGGACTTCAAAAATTGTTTGCTTATTTTCAAAAAATGTTCGGAAATTTCAGAAAAGATTAAATTTTCAAAAACTGTTTAACATTTGAGAAACTGTTCACATTTTTTAATTTGTTCACAAATTAAAAAAATGTTCAGGAATTTCCAAAAAAATTGCTGGTTAGAAAGTGTGTGCACAAGTTCAAAAACTTTTTGGCAATTTAAAAAATTGTTCTTATTTCTAAGTTTCTTCATGCTTTTAAAATTTGTTCACGGACTCAAAATGTGTACGGGAAATTTTAGAAAATGTTCGCATTTTACGAAAAAATTGTTCGTAATTTCAGAAAATGTTCTTCTTTTCAAACTTAGTTCTTTTTTTTGAAAAAAATGTTTGGAATTTCCAAAATCTTTGGTTTTTTTTGCAACAAATGTATTAAAAATTCAAATTCTATTCCCATTTTCTTTTCTTCATAAAACTGTATGTGCTTTCCATAATATTTTCAAATAATTTAGAAATCTATACAGTACAACAAACAATGTGCTACAATGAATACGCCGTTATAGTCACTTTTTAAAATGTTTGCGATGCCAAAAGTCAGTAGTAGCTGTTGGCTGTAGTGGCCAACATCACTTGCAAACAATCTGGCGGTCACGAGTTCGATTCCTTCCTCCAGTTCAATCTTTTGAGATTTTTGTCGTGCTAGCTAACTTCCGTGCCCTAGAGTGGGCTGACCCAGTCGCGGCGCCCCCTGTATCGGCGTGCTATTGGACGCATCGAGTGTCCAATAGGAGGCCCCGTAGATTATTCCAACTTATTCCAGAAGCCGGCAAAAGAATTGCTCGTAATCTTCTCACGCTACTTAGTAGTACTGAATAACATAAGGGAAACAGGAGCAAAGTAAAACTGAACAACAGAAAGTAAACATGGGCAACCAACAAATTAAGCTGCAATTTGGCCAAAGCGGTCTCATACTCGGGCAAGGCATGTCGCCTTGCCTTCCGCCTACTAGTCTGTACAGTTGCATCTCTGAAGAAAAAACCATAACAATGGCGGTACTACAAAATATGTAGGCATAGTTCAGATGAAAAGCTATGATGAAAAAAATCACGATGGTCCACTTCACGGATGTATGGAGAAAAAGGCGGTGTGAGTGTGGATACTAGCATGAAGAAGTGAGGCGTTTAATCCAGAAGATATAAACGAAAACATACACATATATGATAAACTCTACGTGCATGAGGCAGAGCTATCATATAATCATTGGAATTAGAAATACCAAATGATGTTATATTAATGATCTTGATAGATAGCAAAATGCTTGTGATGGTATGCAATGACGCATGCAAATCGAGAAGGGTAGGGGCCTATGAAGATTATTGGCACACAGTAGGGCGAGACTTGAAAAGAGGAGAGATCGCAGCATCCCATCTCTTTTAACATAATAAAATTTATACATTAATATCAAATGACAAGACAATGTGACATCTTCTTGTGGTATATACGCCTGTCAAGCTAACTAATACATCAACTACAACAATGGAGGGTAAAGCCACATGGGACGATGGTTATGACCCGTCACATAATATCCTGTCCTCTCCACCCCATCACCGACACTTGGATCTTCCCTACAATACATGTGCTCGCGGTTGTCCATTGTAACAATGTACACTGCGTCATCGGGCAACTTGTTTGTTGCCCGTAAATTTTCTATGGAGTAGTAGATATGATTTCTCTTCCAACCATGATGCGTGTCTACCGTCACGTGCACAGCCTTAGACGAATACGGCCCGAAGAACAAGGCGTGGTCACCAAAATTCAGTACTTCCGCCCACTTATACTTGCAAGCCATGTCGTTATCGGTGTCGACAAGTGTGAAGACCTTGTAGAAAGACCTTCGGTTGGGCAACCAGCAATCATCTATCGCCATAGATGGCTTGCCGTGTAGCTCGAAGAGATGGCCCGCAAATCTCTCGCGACCGTGGCGCCTTTCGACGGCCAGCGGGTGGCGAGATGCGATGATCGGGGTGCCGTCTACCTTCATGTTGATTTTAAACTTGATCAGCTCCTCATTAGGATGCTTACGACCATAGAGCTCATTAAGACGCATAAGACCATAGAGCTCGCCGTTGCAAAATGAGATGTCTATAATAGACATGTCATGCATCTCTTCTACGGTCCATCCGCTCTCGTGGCCACCAACTTTGCACAGTGCAATGCAGGACCGCTGATGATTGATGGCGGCAAGGATGCAACTGCTGGAGGCGGGGTCTTCAGAGAAGATGACTTTCTGGAAGTTGACTGTCTGGATAGGATTAGGCGAGCATACCGGAGAGACCACCACCTCGGCACCAGAGAAGAGGTTTACGATCAGGAGCGCCGACCGGTCGGCCCAGTCGAGCGCAGCAACCCAGCCGCCGTCGTGTGAGCCAACGAACAACTTGTCTTCTGCCTTGTCTGGAACGGGCATGGCCCAGCAGTCGTCGGGGCCGCACAGGCGCTTCGTCTTGTGTAATCGGGCACATGGCATCAGGAGCAGCAGCGGGGTGGGCGGCGGCGCCGGGAGGCGCGACACAGCAGTGCGCCACGCCTTGCAGACGGCAGTAAGGCGCAGGCGATCGCGTGGAGAGGCAAGCCTGAGGTGGACCATGCCAAGGAGGTCGTCAGCGAGGTCGGACCACTGCGGCGATCGGGCGCTTCCGTCGGTTGTCGACATATCGTGTGTCTTCGTGATTACGAGTAGTGGCAGTAGAGGCGAGAATCCATAGTTTTGGCTGCCTACTTATAGGGATTGATGAGTCGATTCGTATAGCAATGCACGGAGTCTCGTCTCAGATCGTGTCCGTGCCCGAGACATATAGAGTATATCGTTCTTATCGGAATCGAAAGTAGAGTCCAAACACCTCAGGACTGTTGCATAGACAGAGACAGCAAAGCAGGGGAGGAAGCGAGAGAAGTTACACGAGGATCGGTGACTGCGGCCTCCTAACCGAAGCATGTCAGGGGAGCCAGCCGTCGCAACTCGCACGCACTTTTCGGAGACTTGCTGGAAGGAAGCCGCACGCGCCAGAGCTTCAGGGTGCGGGGAAGCGATGGCTCTGTACGTTACGACTCAGCTTCGGCTTAAAGTTCAACCATAGTAGTGTCGTCAGTATCAAACGCCGACTCCTGCACTCCAAACGAGTGGTACGTCTCCGTCTGTCAACACTGTCCAAAGCAGTGGCGCCTGGCAGGATTATCCACACAACGCAACACAAGAACGGATACAGAGGTCGCTCAGTGCATTCCTCGCCTTGTGAAGGAGCCAACCCAATTATACTTCGTCAACTTAATAAGATTCTTGCAGTTTGAAATTGACAGGTCACGTGAGAGTTGGGCATTCTTTAGCCCGAATATTTTGCGGCATCCGTATGCTCGTGACTGGACAGTTGGTAAGCTAATGGTTGTTAGAGCAACTCTAGCCGATCCCCTAAAATCGGTTAGAGGAGTGAAAATTCGATTTTACTTCTTTAACCGACACCTAGCCGATCTCCTAAACTGTGTAGTGGAGTATGAATTTTACTCCTCGCCGCTTTGGTGGAGTAAAAGTACTCCATCACTCGGGCTCGGAGTAAAAATTCCACACCGCACCGCATCCTCCTCTGCCTCTTCTCTTCCTCCCTCCCCCTCCCCCTCAATCCCCTCGCAGGCGACTCCCCACCACCCCCACACCCCCACCGCTACCGCCATGGCTGGTTCCTATGGCCGCCGCTCCCCGCCCTACATTCACAGCGCGGATTTGCA